TTTTTTTTTTTCCCTCCCCATAACTGTTCCCTTAGAAACAGCCCGTTCACCCCTTTCTTTGGGAACAGGGACTGACTGCTGGGCCCTTGGGAGCAGCAGAGATGATGTGGATGGCAGCCCCGCTGTGACAAGGGAGGTGGCACACACAGCCCCGTGCCGTGACCTCAGCTGACAGCCACAGCCACGCTCACCCGAGGGAGCTGTCAGCCTCTAAACGCCTGCTTCAGCTCCTCATCACATCCAAGGAGAGAAAAATGTTAACCCCAGCTCAGCACTGAACTCCCAGCTTCACCAGAGCATTTCATTACGGGATGAAATCATCCTGTTTGCTGGAAAGGCATCAGCTCGTGCTGTCGGCTCCAGCAGCTTCTCGCCAATTTATTTCACAGAGCTCAGAAAAATTGGAAAGGGCTGAAGCAACGGAGAGGAACACGAGCATCTCAAAACCAGATTTTCTGTGTTGGAAAAGATTACATGATCCGCAGAGACACGCRGCCCAGGGAGAAGGTTCAGAGCACATCTGTGATTGAAATAAACCCCAAGAAGTTCATTCTGCTCTGAGCTGTGCCAGCTCTGTCTGARCTTGGGTCTCCAAAGCACAGAGTGRAATTTGGGGGATAACTGCTAGATGAGTTCACACTGTTTGTCCTGTCAGACCAGGGCTCTTGCTGACAATGCCTGGCACCAGCTCTCTGCTGAGCAGGACCAAGAAATCCTGCTGCAGGATTTCCACCAGGCATGCAGGAGCATGTTCTCCCTCCACCAGGCAGGGAGAACATGCTCCAAGTGCAAGTTTCCTCCTTATTMTGACAAAAGGTGTTAGTTTAAATCACAGTGTAGGAACATTTATTATCCTGCAATGTTCTTTTTTTAAAAAAAATTGAAAAGGTTTTTATCAAAACCCAAGGTCTTCTTCTCCACAGGAATGTCAAATACCATTTTGATCTTGTTAAGTTTCTGCCAGGCCGTAGGGAAACRTTCAGGCAAAGGCAACTGCAGCCATGCATTGGATAATTGGCCTTTTGGRTGCTTTTTGGTGTGCTGCAGCCTCAAGCAGGATGTATTTACAAAGAACAGGAACCTGGAAACATTTTCAGTCTCAGCAGCACTTTGACTGCTGCTTCTGAAATGCATTTAGACTCTGTTCTCCAGAAGAACTATCCACACGTTCCTTCCCAGCTTCTTCCTGCTAAGAACAAAAATTCATGGGAAGGGCATGTTTTGAAGGAGTCAATTTTGGTGGGTCAGATGGTCAGTCTCGGATCTCTCTGTAGTTCTTATTCAACGTGGAAAAACGTATGAGGTGGATTTCAGGGGGTTTTGGTTTCCTGTCATCCCAAATGTACTCCGGAGAGAGCAGCTTGGAGGGTTTGTGGGAGAGGAAGTGCCTGTTGAGGTGACTCTCCTCCTGCCACGCTGCCATGATCCCGTTGGCTTTGTCTGCCAGGATGGTCATGTGGCAAGCCTTGGTGAACTCGTAGACTTTGCTGATCGAGCCTCCAAACACAGCTCCTCCATAGTAAAAATCCCCTTCCCCCTGGGGGATGAAGGCTGCCGAGGAGCTCCTCCTCTCATACGGGAATTGCTCCCGGGGCACTTGGAARTAGCCAGGATGGATGGCTGCCACCATGTCCCCCAGAGTCTCGGGGCCCCAGGAATTGTGGAACACCATGTCTATGTCCAGGCAGAACAGGTAGTGCACCTCAGCGTGGCTCACCTCGGCCACGTGCCTGCTGATGGCCTCCATCCTGCGCATGGAGATCTCCTGCCAGCTGGAGTATTTCTGGATGGGGACGGGGACCAGCGTGCGCCCCGACTGCAGCTGCACCCCAGAAATGCTCCCAGGGCTGTCTGTGAACAGGTAATAATTCACCTGGTAGCCCCTCATGAAGTGCTGCTCGGCCGACTCCAGGAAACGACGCACAAACCTCGTGTACCTGCACAGACACGGAGGGTGGAGAGATCAGCATGGACAAAGAGGGAATCTCTGTGAAGAGAGACTCTTTGAAGGGTGATAGAGCAAAGGGGGAATGGCCTTCAGCTGAAGGAAGGAGGTTTAGATCAGATATCAGGGAGGGATTGTTCCCTGTGAGGGTGGGGAGGCACTGGAATAGGGTGCCCAGAGAAGCTGTGGCTGCTCCTGGATCCCTGGAAGTGTCCAAGGAGAGGTCGAGTGGAAGGTGCCCCTACCCATGGCAGGGAGTGGAAGGAGATGGATTTTAAACTCTCTTCAAAACTGTTTTAAAGCCTCAACCCAAACAGTTCTGGGATTGCAAGGGAATGGTGGTGATTCAGGGCACGTTGGTGAATGCAGAAAGACAAGGAGTGGAAAGAGGTCACTGATCATCACTGAAAAATCCACACMCCACACATGCAACAGGTACAGGGGAGGACAAAAATACATGGATTATCCCCATTTTWTCCCAAATTCCCAAACCACCTGCTAATTCTTCAGAAATACTGCCCACACTCCAGGTACCTCAAAAGTTGTCATTCTCCAGGCTGGTGGGATTATGGACACACTGCACAAGCACAAAAACCTCCTGCAGCTTGGGACAAATTTCAGGCCAAGAAAAACCCAAATCCTCTTTCCACAGAGGAAKTGCATCACYCCAAGGACTGTGCCCACCCARTGCTTCCCTTACTTTCCAACAGCAAAGGCTGTCACCCCAATGGTGAGGTTCAGGGGTCTGTAGGCACTTTCCAGGATCTCAGGATTGAAGGTCCCTTCCCAGACAATGGGGGCCAGCCATGGTGTGACTGTCAGCACATCCTGGCGCCTGCAGGGGGAAAAAAAAAAGAAATGTTAATGAAATTGAACTGTTCCTTTTGGTTTTGAGGCCAGTAAATGGGAAAGGAGCACTAAAAAGGCAGCCAGGAGAGTGTGTGAATCAGCATTAATTCACCATGGAGGGTGTTAGCCTCGGATTTTTTCTCCCTGCACTCTCATTTGAGGTTATAGAGCACGGACGTTTCAATTCCTGGGATGAAATTAAGCACTTTTAACACATCAGCAAAAACCTGAGGATCTGCTAAAATCTCRTTTAAGGAGTTTTCTGCTGAGGAGAGTTTAATGACCACTGAACTCTCAGAATGGGAAGCTGTGCCTGTTTGCTATCAGCCTGATGCAGATTGCTACAGATTAAAACACAAGTAATAATGTGAAAATTACTATAAAAATATACCCCATTGCTGTGTTATTAAAAAACAGCTTGCAGCATGACAGCTTATTTTTCCAGTATTTATATATAGCTCCAACACATTCAGATATAATTTAAAATGCTGTGTGTGAGCCAGCATTCAAATGTGTAACAAAGTTAGAAAAAAATCCTTAATCTCCTGTGAGGGAARTGGAAATACTGAATATAAATGCAGCAGAGTCTGATTACGCCCTATAACAGCTCTGCAGTGCTGTTTCCATTTGCTGCCTTGTTTTTGGTGTTTCCTTCTCACCTTTTTGATTTTAAAGGAGATGTCATTTATGGTGTAACTCACCCCAAATTGCTCACGTTTGCTGCAGACCAGAAGCTGGAGCCCTCTGCTAATGCCATTTGTCACACAGAGCACAGCTCTCACCTGACATGGTCCCAAAGCAAAACAGCCCCAGAACCAAACTGGGGGAGCTGTGGGAGCAGCCTGGAGGTTCAGGCAGCAGATCCAATCAGATTTTCCACCYCAGATCTAATACTTTCAGTCTGAGGGGATACAAGAATAACAGTTTGACTCCTTCCTACAGCAACRCATGTGATTGAAAGATTAAATTATACAGGGAGAAGGATTTTGGGTTGAGAAAATGTACTAACTTGATCTGTTTCTGGGTTGATTATCCTTTTTTTGGATGAGGAAGGAGAGAGAAGGAAACATGCATGTTCACTTCTCTAAGCTTTTTAAACTTCATTTTAAAGGGCTGTCCTGTGCTTCCCAGTGACTCATGGTCATGGTCATCCTCTTAGTGCCAATAAACTCTCTTCAGAAGACACAGAGAATTAAAAACTACAAGATTCTCCCCTCATCTAGGCCAGTATATCCCAGCTGATTTAGCACAGAAATTTATTCCAGTGTGGAAGAGAGAAATATTCAGGCTGAGGACATCCTGTAGAAACAGCAAGAGGAAATGATACAGATATGTGTATATATGTACAACAGGGTGTGTTTGATAACAGGCAGAAGAATGTGATTGTTGAAGGTGAACTGCTCCAGATAARAGTCCAGATAAAGGAGCAGGGCCAAAGGAGGCTGCAATAACCTGAGCTGCACAGAGATTTTGCCTAAGTCACTTCTTAGTGCTGCTGCCCCAAATCTTCCCTCAAACTCCCTGCTTTGGCTGTGTCTGAGGTTTGTCTGTGTTTGCTGTGGAGGTCACACAAAGCTCCTGCTTCATTTTGCCCTGAAATGGGKTCAAAGCTCTCCCACAGCTGGTTCCAGCTCCAGCACAGCTCCAGAGGGTATTCCCCACTCTCCTGAAGATATCACAGATCTCCCATCTCAGGAAGAGCTCCTGGCCATGACAGAGTGTGTGAGTGCTAATGAAATCATAGGGAATTAACAGTAAATGCATTAATAAGTGTGCAGTGACCAAACCCAACCTCAGAGCAGCACAGAGAGCTGCTGCCACACCCCAGGGTTGGGATTTTCATGGAACAAGGTCCTGCTCAGTGTGCCCCAGGACTTTGGAACTGTGAGTGCTGCAAAGAGCCCAAACTAAACTCAGTAGAAACAAAGTTAAACAAAGAAACTTACTTCGGTGCCAGCACTCTTGGCTGCTGATAAAATAATCTGTAAAAAGGAAGAAATATCCATTGAATAATACATGAATATGCCTGGAAGAGAGGAACAGCAGTTTAAAGGTCAGGAGATAAAAAGCCTGTACTTACTGAGGGAAAAGCTGGATTAGCTTCTCTTCTGTATATTGGAGTTTTATGGAGCTGCATGATGGGGTGGGAGAAGAAAGGATTGTTATGCTTCTCCTAAAATATCAACCAAGTTTGGCTTCAGGACGTGCTGGTGCACTGTCCAAACCCAGCTCCAGCTGCTGTGGACACTGCCCTGCCTGGCCCAGGGTTAGGCACAGCCTAAACACACCTTCCAGGGCTGCATTGTTGGCTTTTTGTTTTAAGAGAGTGAGTAATTAAAGAACAAGGGATTGTTAATCACTGTTTGAGTTGTCAGTGGAAGAACAGGACTGTAACAATGAGCTGTGTTACTCATTAGACACAAAGCAAAATACTCACAAGATTTCAGGGCAGGGAAGGTAGTAGGGCAGGTAATGCACTTTTCTATTCCCAATTGTAGCCCTGTGAGAGCAAAGAAATGTTTTAAAATGGGTAATGTGAAAGGAAATCTTCCTAGAATTTTCCAAAATCACTTAAGGATCTGGCACAGATTTTAAGAGGTAATTCTGGCTAACTCCATGTCTACTTTACTAATTAGTGTAGGATCTGGTGTGTTCTCATTTTAACATAATGTCCTGCTGCTAAGGCAAAAAGTGACCCATGAGCTGAAAGCACAAAAAATTGCAACATCATAAAGATGGGATAGTTCACAATTTCATAATCAATATTTTAATATTTAATGGAAATGCCTGATTTCAGATCCCCTCCAAACAATGTTTGAGTTTGCTCCAGAGGATCTATAAGCCACATTCAGTCGTCAGAATATTCAGCTACCAAATCCTCRGTGTCTGAAAGCTGCAATGTCTGATAGCTCCAAAGCTGTCCCTGGTGGCACTGGAGTGAGTTTGGACTGTTTGAACAGACAGATAATCATCCCTGCTAAGGCCTGAGCTGAAATGTTTCTGGAATATTCTGTACTTAAGYATTTGTTTGTGAGTCACTACGGTGTTAGCAGCCTGATTTAGACACAATTTCTCTTTTTTCCTCTCTCCCTCAGGGCCTTCTCCCTCTGCCAGTGCTCCTTTTTCTGTCACACAAATGGCTGTTCTTTCTTACAGCCCTGACAGGGACTTCCCATAAAATGTGGCCTTTATTTTTCTGCTCCTGTGAGTTTTACCACAGGATATTCATGGGATGTTTTAAATATGGCTGACCTGACCAGCAAACACTCACCAGATAAAAGCAGTAACAACACCCAGACAGACAAGGGATCCCATCACCACTTTCTTGGAAATCATCTCTTCTGGAGCAGAAGGAAGGGCAACTCCTGAATTCCAGCAGCTTCCAATCTGCAAAGAACAAAAATAAGTGAAGTGGGCTGTAAGTTTCTCAGTCTGAGGGAAATAAATACATTATTTCCTCAGAGGAGGATGAAGCTTCTCAGCAATTTTTCTTTCAGTCCTTCTGTACCAATAAACACAGAAGGAGCCAGACCACAAGAACCAGGGCACTGAGGCAGTGTCTGTAAACTATCTGATCAAGCTCTCCATTTCAGGGAGCTTTAACCCCAGGTGCAGAACATGGGGAGCTTTTCTGATTTCATTCCACTTTCTGTAGATTCCATTTTTTTCATCTCAAGCACTCACCCTTTGTGATTTAATCAATCACGCACCCCAATCCTATCAGAGAGCTAACACAGCTATCAGCAGAGCTGATAAACCCCACCTTTCACAGTCCTGCAACTTCCACAGGCACTCCCTGAAAAGTGCCTGCAGGAAAAGGTAAACTGAGGTGTGAGAGCAGCAMAGAAACTTTTCACAGTCCTAAGGCAATGATTAAATCAAAGAAATTATTTCCTGTGCTACAGCTATGAAAATCAACTTTCGGAGCCCAGCAGCCTTACCTTCAAAGCTGTGATCAGTCCTTTTTTCTTCTTTTGGGAAAGTGTGAACTTGGGGCCCTGTGATGAGCCCACAGATCATTTGCATGGGGCTTCCAAAGGGTTTTCAAGCACATTAATGGTTATTACACTGATTATTACTTCAGTGAGGACAGAATGAGAGAATTGTGGATCAGACTCCGGGGTTCAGCTCCGTTCCTGATGCCTCAGGACCCAACTCATCCACAGCAAAGGCTCTCCCAGTGTGGCTGGAGGGACTGGTTGAAATTTCCAGTCAGAGCTTTCTACTTCCTTGAATGTGATTGGAGCCTGCAAGGAAAAAAAAAAATAAGGAAGAGGCTGTTTATCAATCCCATTTACAGACAGGGTAGCACTTATATTAGTGGGAGTGGTACATGGTGCTTCTTGGAAGGTGCTGAAGAAACCTCAGAGATCAGTACCTGGCCCTTGGTAAGGCACAGAACAGTGCCAATGGATCTGAAGAGGCACGGGTGATTTTCCTGCTTTTGTTTCTTTGGCTGGAAAAAGACAAGTGGCAAAAAGTTCTTTATTTTGCCTTACTGTGTCACACAGCAACCCTCCCTGGTGCTTCTCCCTAATTTTCCTGTCAGACAATCTAAATAGCTTTCATCAAGAAGTGTCACAAAAAAAATCCTACTTAAAAACAATTACTAAATATATATAAATATAAATATATATATAAATTTATATATATAAATATATATATGTATGCCTTAAGGCCTTCCACCACTTAAAGCCTTCAAGGATTCATGCTGAACAGTTCTGGATTCTTGCTAAAAATGCTGCAGATCCACATAGAAGGAAAAGCAAACAGCCTCCCCCCTCTGTAGCTGTTATTCTGYGTTTTTTACCAGTTTTATCTCATTCTTGTGCCAGTTGTGTCACGAGAGCTGCTGCACTGCTGCCAGGATTTGTCAGTGCCACGTTTCATACCTTGTGCTTGATGCTTCCAGCACATGCAAAGCAGATAAATGTGCAAAGGGGGGGTTCAAACAGTTGTTTTGCAGCCATTCTTTAGGAGATGGCTCCACACAGGGCAGGTAGGAAAGCTCTTCTCACCAGCAAGAAATTTCCAAATTTCCAACCAGGCTCTGGCTCGCTGCAGTTTAGATCTGGGCAGATCCCTTTTCCACACCTGAAAGTTCTGATGTTTCCTTCCCTTTTCTCTTCTATGACCTCCTTCAATCTTTCTTTGTAATTTTCTAAATTCAAGATCTGGGATTATTTCTGTCAGTTCTGACTGGACTCTCTCTAATCAGCCCATTCTCATGAAATTTGGTGCCAAAGCAACCCAAATTCCCTTGCTGAGCCCTCAGCAGGATGAAGCAAAGCTGGGTTACCCCCCAAAATGAAAAGCTGTCACAGTTCAAAATGTGAAGCTCTGCAAGGCCACAGCACTGGGATGACACTCAGCCTGTGCCCAAGTATAATCCACATCTTTTCTGTGGAAGATCTCCCAGCCAGGTCTGAGGCACATAAAATCTTGTGACTTCATGAAAACAAACTCGATTTTCAGGCTATTTGTTTTTACAAAATATGAGGCCCTGACTGAATCCTGTTTTCYATGATGCTTGCAGCCCCTCCCAGTGTGATGCCACTTTCCAATTGCATAAATATYCTCTCAAAATTTCCACCCAAAGCATAAAGGAATACACAAACAATCCCACTTTGTGGAGTCTCCTGAGGATCCCCATTTTCTGCACCTGTCCCATGCTCTTATCTCCATGGCATACAGAGGCTGATAGCACAGAACTTGGGTGATGGGGAAGGACAGGGGATAAACAGAGAGAAGGAAGGGGACTGACAGTTATTTGACAGTAAAATTAACACAGTAAAAAAAGCTGTGGGTGTTCTGGTTGTTTTAATGCAGTTTCAGCTGTTGTAATGGGCACAGAGTATTTCCATGTGTCTTTACAGAGTAAACATCTAATCCCTCAGGAAGAGAAATACACATATTTTGAAATATTACATCATTAAAAGCACAGATGATCATTCACCCCTTTGCTACAGTTTCTGTGTTACCAATCTGCCAGAACACTGGAGCCAGCTGAGAYTGGAACATCTTTTGCATCTAAAACCATCTCACCGAGATTGACCTCAACTGATTTACAGCTCACTGTGAATACAAACAAAAATGAGAGATGTGGTTGCAGCTAAAGAAAGAATCTCCAATCAAACAGAAATCACAGCTAAAGCATTTTTGTTACTCAGGTTGTTTGAATTTGTTCAGAAAGTTTTTTAAAAGGGATATGGCTGAAAGTAKCTCTGTTACTCCCAAACGAACTTGCTTGACCTCCCAGAACAAAGCACTACTTTATCTTCAAGCCCTGCTTGGAAAGCATTCCGGACAGCTGATAAATACCTCACTTGTAGACCATTCCATGGAAAATGTTCTTTGCAGAGCAACTATTTCAGATTTTCGAACCTGTATTTCAGATTTCTACAACTGAAGTGGCGAGCTGYGAGTGCAGGGCTGTTGAGAATGTGAAGAAAGAAAAGATATCTGTGGGGAGGGCTCCATCTGTGCCCCAGAACAGGTTTCCTTGCTGGACTCCAGTACTCTCAGGATCCTGTGACACAAATGCTTTCAGTCACACCTGAGGCTTGAACACACTTCAGCACAAATCCATTGCTGTTTGCAGTGTAAGATTACAGCTGCATCATGGAGTTACCTGGATTCTGGCAGATTCAGCTGGGAAGCACTGCACAGCCTGCATTTCACAGCACATTCACCAGGCCCACTAAACCAGGGATGACCCCACACCAATCCCACAGGATCCCTTGGTGGCATCCATGAGGAACACACCATGCAGGACATCAGGGGAAGTGACAGCAACTGACATTTCCCCTTTAGAAAAATAATAATTCCTATTAGAAACCAACCAGAAGGGTTTTTTTTGGGACAGAAAACTTTATTAACAAATATACAACTGTTTTTTAGTATGAAGATGGGAAGCTGTGGCAGTGCCTGCCCCACAGCCTGGTGTCCTCAGGCACTGCCTCCTCTGGGACAGTGCCACAGCCCCGTGTGACAGATGGACACCCCACCCTGGAACCCCAAATGCCAGGAGTGGCTGCTTTGGTCTCACTTTAACCCAGCTTTTTTCAAGTCCTCTGGCAGAATTCGGCCCTTCTTCCGGGCCCTGGCTTTCTTCTTYTCTATCCTCTCCTTCTTCTTCTTCTGGATGTTCTTCTGGCGCTTGTCCTGCCGCTGCTGCATCTTTTCTGCCACCCTGACAGTTCGCTGCTCCCACTGCCTCTTGCGCTGGGCTTTCCTCTTCTCCTTGCGCTTCAGGGCTTCCTTCAGACGCTCCTCGTCGTCACGGATCTTCACCCCTTCTGCCTTATAGAGAGCATTTGTCCATTTTATCTTGGTCTCCAGCTCCTGAGCTTTCTTCTCATCCTTATCCTTGAGCTCCTCCAGTTTATTCTTCCTGGTCTCCAGCCTGCTCAGCAGCTGCTTGTAGTTTTTGCCCGTCAAAGGAGTGATATTGCCTTTCACTGCTTTCCTTTTCTCTTTCTTCTTCTGGATCTTGTTCAACTCATTCTCTTCATGCACTTGAACCCTGTTGAAAACAATTTCAGTTCTGCTCTCTTCCTTTTTGTTTTCTGGCTCTGCTGGTACCTCCTCGGTTTTTTTCTTCTCCATTTTTGCCTTCATCTTCAACTCCTTTCGCCGGCGCTTCTTTCTCTCTCTCTCGTACTTCCTTCKCTGCCTCTTCTCCAGGACTGCAGGAGTTAATTCTTTTGCATTATCCTAAGGAAAAGGATGGATATGAGTGAGAAGCCTTAAATGGACAAAGCAGAATTAAAAATGGGCAGTCCCCAAGTTCCTGATTTCAAACTTCTCCTAAGAAGGACTACCTGTGACACCAACCTGTGGGCTCAGCTTTTAGAGATGTTAAACAAAGTAATAACATTTCAAACCCTTTGCTCTCCCTCAGCAGCCTGAAGCTCTTTTCTTTCAGGTTCTCAGTGCTTTTTTTTTTTTTTTTTCCTAAAAATCACCAAGGCATGTTCTCCTCCAAGTCTGACCCCCCTTTTCTCACAGATTTTTCCAAAGAACACACAGAGGTCACCTGGCAATACCTACAGGCAATTCCTGAGGAGATGAAATTGGCTTAAACCCTGAGAGATCCTGTCCCCACATCCCCTGGGAGGCTGGAGAGAATTTTCAGTGCATAAAAACACAAATGAATACACATCCAGAGCTCCCAYACCTGTCCAGAAGCTTTTTTAATCTTCTCATGGAGTCTCTGACGCAACAGACTGATTGCAGAAACAGAAGGGGAACTCAGTTCACTTTTACTTCCTGAAAATGAAAGAAAGAAAATAAAAATACTTAAAAAGCAGCACCAAGCTAAACAGAAGCACTTTCTATTGCTATGGGAAAAGCTCTGGGAACTCTTTAGATGCTGTGAATGGAACGGAAAATCCAAACAAACCAAGAGTTTCTATTTCATTGGTTTCTTTAGAATTCCCCCTTTTCTATCCCTATTATCATTCAACACTGCCAGCAGTGGCCTGGCATGGCCTGGGGCTGCCTGGCAAGCCAAAGGCAAGTACCCAGATTGTGGAAAACAGAGAGGCCCAGGACATCTTTTCTCTATGATCTGGCTTTTCACTGTCATAAAGGAAAGAGGACCTGGCAGGACAGGGATTGCATCCACGCATAATTCCCAAAGTTACTCACATGCACAAAAGCTCTGCAGTTCAGTTTAAACACCGTTTCCAGAGAGCCACCCAGTGGCAATGGCACAAATTCCTGTCCAGAGGCCAAAGCTTCCAGGGCACATGGGATAAGCAAAGATGTTCTTAATTCAGGTTTTCCAAACTACACGTGTGAAGCAATTGAAAAGCAGCCAGCTTAGCCCAGGTCACTTCAATCAGACCATGGCAAAGCTGCAATTCTTACCTGTAGCCAAAYTCTCATTTTTGTTCTGTGTAACACTCTGTGGAGGTGTTTTGCTGGCTTGAGGGGCTGCTTTCTGTCCAGGAGTGGCTTTACTGGTGTTAGAAACCACCTGTTTGGCTGAAGGAGCATTCTTCTTTTCAGCTTGCTTCCTGGACTTCTTTCTCTTCTGTTTCTTGGGCTGTCTGCCAGCATCCTCGGGCTGGCCTGGCTTAGACACTAGAAAGCAAAAACAAATTACACAAAAGAGGACAAAGCTAGATTCCCACCCATAATATTCACTTATCATGGAAGACTAAAGCTCCAGCATCGCAATGGCATACCTTAATGTTTAGAAATTACACGTTTTAGGTTTTATTTAAATAGACCAAACAGCCTCGCACACTCCAGTAAAATCCCAGCTCTCCCACGTCCATCAATCACCAGTGAATGGAGACCATTGATTCCCAAGGCTCCCAGTACAACGTGTTCGGGAGCTCCGTGTTCCAGCAGATTGTTATTTTGTTATAAAAGGCACAATCGCGGGCTAAGCGCCCCGTGAAGGCACAACAGACGCGCCCAGCCTCCCACAAACCGGCCGGAGAGGACAGAATCGAAGCGTTACAGTTCCAGTACCAAATTTCCTCTTCCGCGACTCCGGGGCGTGCTGSACGCCGGCCCTCCTGGCCAAGCCCTGCAGATAGGAGTCCTGCGCGGCCAGGYTGGCCATTGCCATGCCGGGGGTGGCCCCTCCTCGGGGCAGCGTGGGGACAGCGGTGCTCTCCTCGTGGAGATCTCGCAGGAAGTGATGGATGAAGCGCGCCGGCCGGGAAGTGACGGCAGCGCCGAGCGCACGGAGCGCCCGCAGCCGCCGGGGCTGGAGCCGCCCCCGCCGGGGCTCGGCACGGCCACCGAGAGGGTCCCGCAGCCACACCGGGGGTGCTCGGGGCTCTCCTGGAGGGCTACGGGTCGCCACCACCCCGGAGCTTCTGCAGACAGCCACTCCAAACCCCCCTTTATTAGCGGACAAATTTGCACAGTGGTGAAGTTCCCAGAGCACGTTTATGATGGTTTCTGCAGCCCCTGTACGGAGAAAGGGAGTGCTCCTCCCCTCGCATGTGCACGCTCATGTTGTCACACTCGTGGCTGAAAACATACGCCTTAAAAAATTATACAAAACAGTTTTATTAAATCACCTAATTACAAAAATAAATGGAATGGAAGAAAAAGAAACCAAAAARTAATAGCAAAATTCACATCCTAAGAAATGAGACGTTACAGCAGAAAGCTGGGGAAGCTCAGCTCAGTTGTTGGAATGCACTGGTGGCTCTGTGGTGCCTGTGACACCGAGCTGTGGTGACAGTGTTCCAGTTCAGTGGCATCTCCCTTTCAGCTGCACAGCTCGAGCCAAGGCATAGCCACCACAAAAGGAAAGAAGTGCTGAGCTGCTGAACAGCTACAGACCAAGCACCAAATATGTTTCTTTGGAAGGAAACTGAGAGTAATGGAGTATCCTTCACTGCTCTCAAGATTTTTTCATCCATCAAAAACCACCATAAACAGTGGCTTCATGTTAGCTCAGAATATGTTAATAGGAATTTCTGTGTAAACACTAAGGAAGGAATCCACTGACTAAAGCATGACACTGCTTCTCTTTGTGGCTTTGAGCAAGTGGCATCGTTGATCCCTCAGTCTGATCCCCATCTATTCTTCTCCAAAGCAGGGAACACTGCTCTTCCATAACGTCTCCTGAGAGCCTCCTCCCAAACAAAGAGTTCAAGTTTGTAAAGCATTTTGACAGTAAAGACTGTTGTGTAAAAATACTATAAGACTCTTTACAGTAGATCAGAGGTTGTCAGATGCCATCCTGAGAGAGCTTTAAAGCAGCCAGAATGTCAGTAATCTTGGGAAACAGAGTAAAAACCCCAACGCACCCACTGCCCCCACATTTGGCTCAAGTTTATCCCAAAGAAATTCAACTCCCAACAGTCACATGGAAACAAACTGGACTTCTACTGAACTCTACACGTAACTATCACGTTAAAGCAAACTCGACTCTAATTTGTTATAACGACATCCACTTTGTGTCTACTTATCTCTATCTCTTAAGGGACAGGAACATTTCTGGCAAGGTCCTGGGGTGGAGGAAGCACTGCAGCCATGCAGGGAGCAGACACCTGCCAGTACAGCTCCAGTGCCTCCTCCCGACAGCAGGAGCCGCTTGCTCAGCACAGCAGGAGGAAGACTTCCAGCAGCGCGGTGCCGCGGCAGGAATGTGTCCTGCAGCAGCGGATCCTCTTCAGGAATGCTCGGCGGGGCCCACCCCGTGCCCGTTCACGTGGGGGTGCGACGGGGTGGAACTCTGCGAGGTGGCGACGCTCTGCTCTGCTGTGGCAGCTGCCAGCGGCATCGAGAGGCTCTCGGGGGACAGCGTGGCAAAGTCTTCTCTCCAGTAGGCTTCGCACAGTGGGAGATCATTGCTGTCACACAGACTGTAGCTTTCCAGAACAAACAACCCCAGTGAGGAGAGAGCAGGCGTGGTGATAGAGGAGGGGAGGGATGGAAAGGGTGGAGGAGCAAGACAGAAGCAAAGCATTAAGAAAATGGCAAAAAAAAAGAAGCTGGATATAAGGTCTGTGTTCATGAATTCATCCCAAGTCGTGTGACACTGGCCTCCCCTAAGACACACCCCCTAAGAGCTAATCCTAAACCTCTTGGGTCTGATGAGGATCAGGGCAATTTCAGAGACAGAACTGTTGCTACAAACTGAAACAGTGGCTCAATTCCAGACACTTCAAGTCTCTGAAAAGATCTGAAGTCGCTGCACCCCCAGTCTCTGAAAAGATCTGAAGTCGCTGCACTCCCACATATTCTGCTAATAATGAGTGAGACACAGACCTTACCCACAATTATTTGACTTGGAATTAGACTGCAACTTATGTGAGAAAAAAAAATAGAAATCCCGCTCTAAATTTCACTTCAGCAAAAAACTGCTGCAATTGTTTAGGGGGCTGTCCCTTACATAATAAAGAACAAACCTATTTGCTCTCTTGCCCTTTCAAAAAAGTGCTCCATAGGTTTGGGTGTTCTAYTGAAGCTTCCCAGTCTGATTATAAAGTACTGACAGCTCCTGCCTTTTCCCAAAGAGCCTGAGCTAACAGTGCTTCTAAAAGCAGCTGGTTGGAAWCCAACACTGAAAACTACAGAGATGGATGTACCAGCAGTGTGAGAAAAATGTTTTTAAACAACAAATCTTTTTAAACTGGCAAATTCTTGCCTGTGCTCTGAGGAAAACACAATGTGGAAGGGCCAAAACTAAAAAGAAACATGGAAGGAACTGGAACAAAACCAACACAAATCCCAAAGAGAAGAAGGAGCTGCACACACAAGAGACACCCAAGACAAAGTGAGTGCTAGAGCAAAAAGCAGCTTGCATTCAGAGAAAAACAAACCCAATGGGTCAAGTGATTTTGTTGTTGCAGCTTTATTTACATTTGTAATGTATGGATTGATGCTCAGGGAAATATTTTAAGTATAGAAATATGAGACAGTTCAAATTGCACAAACATGAAACATGTGAGATCTAACCTCACACTCAAGACAGCTCCTGTGATCTCAGAGGAGGGAGCAATGGAACACAAATGCAGGTTTGGGGGTTARGATGAGAGAAGGCAAGCTGGACTTGCAGTTACCACCTTGGGGAACAAGCACACAAAGCTCTAGTTGCAAGCTGAGCTATTTTCTGGCAGCATCACCCAGCTGAGCTGGCTTTGCAGGGGAAGTGAGAAGGCAGTGGATACAGGTTTTATGTCTGGGCCTTCTGTAAAATCCGTTGGAAGATCAGCSCTCAATACAGTGGTTTCAGTTAACAAAGATGTTCAGGACTGAACCAAAACTTTGAGTCCTGTTCTGTCATAGACSTCAGGTCATGATTTCCCAGAACCTGACCACAGCATCTACCACATCATAGCAGGGCAGTTATTAACCATATTTTAGCTGTGTCACAGCATGACAGTTTGTCCTGCTGCCCTGTAGGAACAGTCTAAGCTGCACCTTTCAGGTAACACTCCTCAAAAGTCAGGGTCAATAAGCAGCCCGAAGGAGCACTGGCCAGCTTGCTGCTCTGTYCTAAGGGCTCCTCAGGGCAAGGAAGGGATTTCACTACTTCCCTGAGGCATCCGGCCACTCTGCACGCAGAGGGACAGCTCTGGAAAACTAYTTGAACACAGGGCAGGAAAGCCAAGATTCCTTCAGGACAATCTTCTCAGTTTTAGTTTSAAGGACCTGCTTTAGGGTCTCATCAAAAGCCTGGCAAATACCTGACCCTAAAACTAAGAGGCATCCCAGGGCTCCCAGGACAGCCAGGAATTCCCCTCTGGGGGCAGACAGGCTTTTGTGTTTACAGCCACTAAAAGATGGCTGTGACACAACAGAAACCCTTTCCCCACATTAGACAATAAGGTTTCATTAAAAATACTGTAATACTCTAATTATAAAAGGACTTTGAATAAATCACTGTTTCTGTATTTACACAGACACAATTTCTTTGGCGCAGAAAAAGACAGGAAAGAGCACAGGAAGGGAGGAAGTGCTAAAAGCAAATGACAAAGTGCTACATGATAACAAGTGTCAGATCACAGCTCTGCAGAGTYGCCAGGTTTCCTCACCTCAGGACCCATAAGAAAGAGCAGGAAGGCAAATCCATCTGCTGCACACCAACACTGGTGCTTCCATGTTAGTTCTGTCAGCCAGGGTGGCTTTATGTGGCACCTGGGGCCAGGTGGATGTACAGACCATGCCAGCATGGTAAGAACCTCGCTGTCCAAAATGAGAGTGACCAACACACAGTGGTGGCAGTCTGGGGACAAGGTGAGGGAAGCACACCTGGCATGTATGGGGCACTCTCATCCAAAACCACATCCCTTTGGATAAGCTCACTGCTGTCATGGATCTATCAGTACCTAAACAAGTGCTTGGGTTTGGGATCATCACAACCTCCTCAAAAAACTGAGTAAAGTTGAAAAGCAACTCTAAACTTTTACATCTAAGCTGTGTCATATTATTATCCTTTTACTCTTAAAATACATATATTACTCATAATGGCTTTACTTTCAAAGATATTGAGCAATTTAGTTGACTTAGCAGGGGTTATAGGCATTCAGCATTTTTAGAAAAAAAAGGAGGCAAACATAGAAACCCTGGTCATTGAAATTTTAAATAAGATTTTTTAAAGWTAAGTTTTTGTTTAAAAGTCCTAGAATTATTGCACTGACTTCACTTAGCTTGGAAAGTGCAGCCAAAATAACCAGGTTTACATTTGTTTTCTTCTGCTTTCATTTACTGCATCATTAACTAGAAGTGCTGGAGTGCATTACAAAAAAAATAAAAAATAAAGTGTCTGAATTCTCTGAAGTCTATCTGCTAAGTAAGAGGCTTTAAAAATATTAAAAATCCCACAAACAAATCAGTAATAAGTAATTCCTTAGAAAATCCTATCACAATACTTCATCATTCAATTAAACTGAACAAGTTTTTTTACTCCTTGCAAATGTTGACCCCAGCAGGACTGGAGACAGCTGGGGGCAGTGGACTAGGGAGGAAAAGGCACAATGTGTGACCAGGTCACTTGTGAAAGACTCACCACGAAGGTGTGGTGACATAGCTGACATCAGGACCCAGCTTAGCAAGCTGGTCTTTATAGGGAGAGAGCCAGAGGCTCCTTCACAGGGATCTCCACCAAGGAAATTCATCTCCTTTTCTAATGATTACAACAGAAGCCTAAGGAAATCACCTATCAAACCTAGGATGCT